ATACTACTCGGTATCTAACCATGCCTACTACGCGGACCCGCGGTGGAGGGGAATCCTCGGGCGACGACTCCCACACCATGGGTGAGGAACCTAGCAGCGGTTCGCTTAGCAGCGGGGGGGGCGATTGATGATGTTAGCCCGGCCGTTAGCATCATCGAGGGAGGGATCTCGGGGCGAGCGACCCCCACACACACACCAAAACAACCGCCATTCGCCACAAGAGGCGGTGACGTCACGGCGCTTGTGCCAGGTTATGTGCACGTTGAGGCCACGTGAAGTGTCGAACGCCCGCTGGCACGAGGTTACAGACCCAGATGCCATGGGTCGACTGACTGAGATGACTGGCTGATGCACCACCTGTGCCCCCTACTGTACCAACTTGCTGTGCTTCAGCCACCCGGCGCTCCGCTCGTTGTTGTGAGCGTCGCTCCTCCGCCCTCCGTTGTTGTTGGAGGGCGACTGCCTCCAACTGCCCAGTAGCGTCCTTCACGAGCCTCCTCCACTGAGGCCGATCTTGACACCGCTGGTACCAGTCATCGGCAAGTCCACTCAGCTCCACGTGCTCCTGTACCACATCACTCCATCTCTTCTCCAGCCCGTGCCGCGCCCATCTAGCCCCCTCGATCCGGCCGAACAAAAGCTGTTTAGGCATGCGGTGGCTGGGCATGCGGGCTACATAACCCAGCCAACGCAGCCTTGCCTGCCGGAGGAGCTCACTGATGGGACTTTGCCCAGATCTTTTAAGGATTTGTGAGCTCCTCACACAATCCAGCCTGGTTAAACCCAGGATGGATCGTAGGCAGGCCAGCCTAAATGTTTCCAACCGGCGAAGATGCTCCACTAGGGGGTCCACGTTTCGCAAGCGTAGAGAAGGGAGGGAATGACCGTGGCCGAGAAGACCTGAAGCTTCGTGCGGAGCGACAGACCAGGTAGCTTCCATACAGCGTTACGCAACCGATGAAAAGATATTGCCGCTCGACTGATTCGGAGTGAGACCTCTGCGATAACTGGAGCCCACTGCCCAGGTTATGGGAAACTCTCCACTCTCTCCACAACTGCCCGATCACCAATTGGGAGTTGTGGGGAGTGGAGTGGTCCGATGGTACAAATACCCAGGCAGGTGCTTAGTTTTGGTGGGGCTGATGGTAAGGCCCCACCTCATAGTGGCACGCTCCAGTCTCAGCAGCAGCGTCTCCAACTCCTCTTCTGAATGAGCATTATTACCAAATCATCGGCATACATAACGTGGTTGACCAATAGGGAGCCATCCCTTGATCGCACCCTGCATCGATCAGCCTCCCATTATATCTGTACCAAATGGAAATTCCCCCGGTACAGCTATTGAAGGCTTCACGAACTACGCGGTCAAAATAGATGTTAAATAATGTGGGAGCCAGAGGACATCCCTGTCGCACCCCAAGGTGTACAGGGAAAGGCTCCGACTCCCGGCCACGTAGTTTTACCCGGGCCCGCTCACCATCATGAAGGTCCGTAATGATTGTGAGCAGAGGGTCAGGGACTCCGAAAGCAAGTCCTACTGATGGTATCATAGGCCTTGACCAGGTCAATAAAGCAGAGATGTAGGTCTTTTTGGAATTCCCTACACCTCTGCTGTAGCAGACGGACAGAAAATATGGCATCTGTGCAGGACCGCCCTTTCCTGAAACCGCATTGGGGCTCCGCAAGCCTCTCCTCAGCGTGCCTAGCAAGGCGATGTTGAATAATCCTTGCCAGGACCTTACCCGGCACACTGAGGAGTGAGATGCCCCTGTAGTTGTTACAGTCGGTACGGTCCCCCTTCTTAAAGAGGGGGACCACCAGGGCATCCTTCCAGTCCTGCGGAACTGTTGTTATGATGTCATATAGGGCAGTCTGTGCACAACGCCACCCTCCCTCAGCAATTTCGCTTGGGAGATCATCTCTGCCCGGTGCCTTCCCTGGTCTCAGGACTCCGGATCGCCCTCAGTACTTCCTCAACAGCTGGCACACTCAACCAGCCACTTACAGGGGGTGACCTCTTCCAATATTTGAGCACCGCAGCCTCAGCAGGGTTATCACCACTTGTGCCATGATGTTTTCCTGGCTGAGAGAATTTCCCTCCCCCAGGACCTCACAGAAATGCTCAGCAAATCTGCAAACCTGTTCCTGGGGGTCGGAGATTGGATCACCGTTTTTTCCTCTAATGATGGTAATAGGTGTGGCGCTGCGGGTTACTTTTTTGATGGAGTTAAATAGTGATTGTGATCGCGGGCCACTGAGGCAGACTCCATCTCCTCAGCAACCAGCGACCACCACCCATCCTTACAGCGCCTTACGGCTCTCCGAACTTCCGAGCGAAGGCTGCGGTAAACCTCCTCATTCTCTGACGTGGGATGCTGTAGGTGATGAGAGTGGGCCTGTCGCTTTTCTCAATTAACCTGAACACCTCCTCTGTCAGCCAGGGTTTCTGGGGAGGTCTGGACCGCGTACCCAAAGCAGCCATTGCAGCTGCATGAGTCACAGTCTTAAACCTTGCCCATTTACCCTCGACATCAGGTGGAGTGGGGGACGATGCCAACCCCAGCTGCAAGCGATGAAGAAATTCTCGCTTGCAACTTTCATCAGCTAACTGAGACCAGGCCACTTTTGGTTGGAATGGGATCCTGGGTGTACACCCACCACCGGAGTGGAAGAATGGCAGGCGCATCTTACAGATGACTAGTCGATGGTCAGAGGGCAGATCAGCTCCACGGTAGGTCCTGGTGTCAAGGACATGGGCTCGCATCCGCTGGTCCGTCACTATGTAGTCCAGCAGATGTTCTTGCTTGACCCGGCATGTATCCATGATGTTGTGTGGATGCGCCGATGCCGGAAGAGCGTGTTGGTAATTACAAGCCCATGGGCTGCACAAAAATCTAGCAGCCTCCTACCGTTATTATTGAGCTGATCTGGCCCATGCCTTCCAATCACTCCAGACCAGGTGCCAGCATCATGACCAACTCGGGCATTGAAGTCACCCAACAAGATGACTCTATCCCGAGTGGCCACTTTAGCCAGCACCTGTGACAGGAGGTCATAGCAAGCGTCCGACTCATCGGCTTTGCCTGCATCCCTCCACGGATGTTCATCTTCGGTGGGGGCATAAGTAACCACGACCACCACTCCTCGCCTCTGGTTGATGGGAAGGCGAGCCCAAAGTATCCTGGGGCTTACAGCTTCCCACACCTCACCGCCACGCTCACACGCCCCCTTCATTCTTTTGTTCAGAAGAAGAGCCACTCCCTGTTGTTTGGCAGTCTCCTGCCCCGAGTAGAGGACTGTCCCACCCCTCATGATGGCAAGAGCCAGAGCCGGTCCACCGGACCTCCTTAATGCCACAGAGATCCAGGCGGTACCGGTCCAGCTCCCGACAGAGGAGTGGCAGCCTCTCCTCCGCAGTGAGCGTTCGAACATACCACGTGGCCATCCGCAATGGTTTTGGTTGTTTCTGGAGGAGCCCCGAGGGTGAAAATTCAATCTCCTGGCTCCGCCAATGGGGTTTGGCCAGGAGACGTCATAAAGCCTGAACCCCCCGGGGCCTCCGGCACAAGCTTATTGTTACAGGTTTATGTTTAATTCGTAGTTTAGTGGTGGTTAATGAAGGTGGAGGGGTTACCAGCCCCTCGCACCCGTCCAGAGCAACCCGTTAGCCACTGTGGTGGTCACAGACGCCATGAGGGAGAGGCCAATGGGCATTGGCCCATCCCCCCACAGCACTGCCCACGACAGTGTTGCCCTGTCCGGCCCCGCGAGGAGGTAGGAGGTTGTTTTTGCCGGACTACATACCACACATACACAACAACAACCGCCATTCGCCACTAAGTGGCGGTGACGTCACCACGACGCTTGTTCCCCCTCCACCCCCCCACCCCCAAACCTCACCAGAGGGAATCGATTCGAATAATCGTTATCTGCGGCAAACCTCCTTTGTTGTTGCTGCTATCGTCACGAGCATCGATTCCATAACTTTGTGTATTTAATCTCAAAGGAATCGATTTCCCGCTATTCTCTGCAGACTCCGATGGCGGAGAAATCGGTTCGCGAATCGATGCAAACGATTCCGACCTCCTAGTTATAATTTGGAATCTATTCTTGGCTTGGTTCTTGGCTTTCTGTGAGTATTTTAAAAACCTCCGTCTCGAATAATTTAGCGATCGTCTTTTTGTAACTCAAACAAACAAGTAACTCATCCGAGGTGGGGAGGATTTGTTTCACAGCCTCGCGTCTTCGCCCAACTGATTGTGGCTCCCTGAATCGCAGAGATCGAGAGGCTTTTAGGCCCAAGCCTCGGTCTTGCCTAGATTTCTCCCCCGGGAAGCCGAGGCGAACCGAGGCGAATCGCGGAGACCGAGCAGCGTATAGGCCCAAGCCTCGGTCTTGCCTAGATTTCTCCCCCGGGAGGCCGAGGCGGGTCCCACCGTGAATCGTAGAGACCGAGGGGCTCGTAGGCCCAAACCTCGGTCTTGCCTAGATTTCGCCCCCGGGGGGGGGGGGCGAGGCGGGCGTGGGCCCACCCCAAGCCCCCCCTTGCCCGGTAGAAATCGCGATGTATTTCGTAGTCAGGATAAGCGGTTGCTTTTAGAATAAGTAGCGCGTATAGGTACGGGCGGTTTGAATACATAGTGCGGATGAGCGGGCGCGATTGGAATACGCAGTCCGCATTGGTGTCCGCTCATTGCAGATGAGCAATAGTTTAGATTTCGATATTAGGAAGCTATTGGGAGCTATGGTGAACTTTTAAATCATCGTAATTTATATTGAAAAACTCGTTCATTGAGAAATGCTTGTTTGTTCGTTGTCCTCCCGCGCCTCCGATTAGCACTGTTGGCTGTAAATGGTTGAGTGGGTGAGTGAGTCGGTGAGGTGAGTGTGTGGGTGAGGTGGTGGGTGAGGTGAGTGTGTGGGTAAGTGAGTGCGTGGGTGGGTGGGTGAGGTGAGTGGGTCAGTGAGTGTTGTGGGTGAGGTGAGTGGGTCATGAGTGTGTGGGTGGGTGAGGTGAGTGTGGTGAGTGGTGTGGGTGAGTGAGTGGGTGGGTGAGTGTGTGGGTGTGTGAGTGTGGGGTGGGTGGTGAGGTGAGTGGGTCAGTGAGTGTGTGTGTGGGTGAATGAATGGGTGAGTGGGTGGGTGGGTGAGTCCGTGAGTGGGTGTCAGTGAGTGGGTGAGTGTGTGGGTGGGTGAGGAAGTGAGTGGGTGAGTGTGTGGGTGAGGTGAGTGTGTGGGCGAGGTAGTGAGTGGGTGAGTGTGTGGGTCAGTGAGTGGGTGGGTGTGTGGGTGAGTGTGTGGGTGAGTGGGTGGGTAAGTGAGTGAGTGTTTGGTGAGTGTGGGGTAAGTGAGTGAGTGTTTGGGTGAGTGAGTGGGTGAGGTGGTGTGTGGGCGAGGTAGTGAGTGGGTGAGTGTGTGGTGAGTGAGTGTGTGGTGAGTGAGTGTGTGGGTGGGTGAGTGAGTGGGTGGGTGAGGTGAGTGAGTGAGTGGGGGGTGGTGGGTGGGTGAGGTGTGAGTGGGTGGGTGAGTGAGTGAGTGAGTGGTGAGTCGGTGATGAGTGTTGGGTGAGAGAGTGAGTGGGTGAGTGGGTGGGTAAGTGAGTGAGTGTTTGGGTGAGTGGGTGGGTAAGTGAGTGAGTGTTTGGGTGAGTGAGTGGGTGAGGTGAGTGTGGGCGAGGTAGTGAGTGGGTGAGTGTGTGGGTGGGTGTGTGGATGGGTTTGTGGGTGGGTGGGTGAGTGTGTGGGTGGGTGGGTGAGTCGGTCAGTGAGTGGTGAGTGTGTGGGTGAGTGTGTGGGTGGGTGTGGGTGGGTGGTGTGGGTGGTGGGTGGGTGGGTGGGTGGGGGTGAGTGGGTGGGTGGGTGTGAGTGGGTGGGTGGGTGAGTGGGTGGGTGGGTGAGTGGGGTGGTGGGTGGTGTGTGGTGGTTGGGTGTTTGGGTGGTTGGGTGTTTGGGTGGTTGGGTGTGGGTGGTTGGGTGTGTGGTGGGTGTGTGGTGGGTGGGTGAGTGGGTGGGTCGGTGAGTGTGGGTGAGTGGGTGGGTCGGTGAGTGTGTGGGTGAGTCAGTGAGTGGGTGGGTGAGTAGGTGGGTGAGTGGGTGGATGGGTGAGTGGTACTGGCTGGAGAAGCGATAGACCGATGAGTAAGTGTGGGTGAGTGTGGTTGGGTGATTGGATGGGTGAGTGTGTGTGGGGTGTGTGAGGTGAGTGTGTGGATTAGGTAAATGTGTGGGTGAGAGTGTGTGGGTAAGTGAGTGGGTGAGGTGAGTGTGGGTGAGTGGTTGGTGGATGAGTGGTTGAGGTGGGTGAGTAAGGTGAGTGCGTAAATGGGTGAGGTAAATGTGTGGGTGAGGTGAGATGAATGGGTGAGGTGTGTGTGTGAGTTAGTGGTTGAGGTGAGCGGGTAGGTGAGTGGGTGAATGAGTAAATGGTTGTTGAGTGTGTGGGTGAGGTGAGTGGGTGAGGTGAGTGGGTGAGGTGAGTGTGTGAGTAGGTGGGTGAGTGGTTGGATGAATGGGTGAGTGAGTGGATGAATGGGTGACTGAGTTAGTGACTGATAGAGAGGGCTAAACGAGCATGGCATGGGCTGGAGAAGAGAAAAACTGATGTGTGACGGGGTGAGTGTGTGAGTGGGTGGGTGAATGGGTGAGTACGTGGGTGAGTGAGTGACTGGGTGAGAAGAGATGGACTGATGTGTGAGTCTTGTGTGTCGGGCAAAAACAACCCCCTACTTCCTGGGTTGATGGTATCGCTGTGGTGAGCAATGCCATGGGGAGAACAGCCAATTTGAAAATGGGCTCTACACCTTCTTGGCACTTGTGGCCATCAAAGTTGGCCAATGGCGGCTCTGGACGGGTGCGAGGGGACTGGTAACCCCTCCACCTTCAATGCAAGTACCACAAAAACGGGGATAAAATATCGAGCAAAGCTTGTGCCGGAGGCCCCCGGGGGACGGGCGTCCATGACGTATTCTTGCCAAACCCCATTTGGCGGAGCCAGGAGACTGAATTCTTACCCTCGGTTTTCCTCCAGAAACGGCAAAAAGCCACTGGGTGGCCACGTGGAATGTCCGAACGCTCGCTGCAGAGGAGAGGCTGCCACTCCTCTGTCGGGAGCTGGACCGGTACCGCCTGGATTTCTGGTATTCAGGAGGTCCGGTGGACCGGCTCTGGCTCCTGCCACCATGAGGGGGTGGACAGTCCTCTACTCGGTGCAGGAGACTGCCAACAACAGGGTGTGGCTCTTCTTCGGTATTCAGGAGGTCCGGTGGACCGGCTCTGGCTCCTGCCACTATGAGGGGGTGGACAGACCTCTACATGGTGCAGGAGACTGCCAAACAATATGGTGTGGCTCTTCTTTGGTATTCAGGAGGTCCGGTGTACTGGCTCTGGCTCCTGCCACCATGAGGGGTGGACAGTCCTCTACTCGGTGCAGGAGACTGCCAAACAATATGGTGTGGTTCTTCGGTATTCAGGAGGTCCGGTGGACTGGCTCTGGCTCCTGCCACCATGAGGGGTGGACAGTCCTACTCGGTGCAGGAGACTGCCAAACAACAGGGTGTGGCTCTTCTTCGGTATTCAGGAGGTCCGGTGGACCGGCTCTGGCTCCTGCCACCATGAGGGGGTGGACAGACCTCTACATGGTGCAGGAGACTGCCAAACAATATGGTGTGGCTCTTCTTTGGTATTCAGGGTCCGGTGTACTGGCTCTGGCTCCTGCCACCATGAGGGTGGACAGTCCTCTACTCGGTGCTGGAGACTGCCAAACAAAACGATGTGGCTCTTCTTTGGTATTCAGGAGGTCCGGTGGACCGGCTCTGGCTCCTGCCACCATGAGGGTGGACAGTCCTCTACTCGGTGCAGGAGACTGCCAAACAAAACGATATGGCTCTTCTTCGGTATTCAGGAGTTCCGGTGGACCGGCTCTGCATTCCAGTCACGATGACTGAAGAAGAGCTACGCAGAAATAAAAACTATAACCCGTAAAAACAAAGTTTTTCACTATAAATCCTTTATATGCGTGGCGGCTAGTGTCCTCTCGTCCTCTGGCTTGAGATGGCTGCCACCTATGGGTCAGATGATTGTCTGCCAGTATTAAGCAATTGGTAATTAAATATTTAATTAGTTTTCCCTAAATTGTGTAAAATTTTGGAAAAAAAATTTCACGAACATTAATTGTCTCGCACAACGAGTCTGTGTGCAAAATGTCAGCTCGATTGGATCACGGGAAGTGGGTTAAAAACGACCGAAAGATTTGCACGGTCGTAAGCAAGCGAACTTAATATAAAGGATTTAAAAAATAGCTTTCGCCACCGTTTTTCCATTCTGCTTTTATCCAGGTAGCGCAAAACCCACGGGCATGGAGCGGAGGCCTGCCGAGCGTCCCCCGGGCAACCGCCACGAGTGCGACCACTGCCCCTACGTGACGGACCGCGCGGGCCACATGGAGAAGCACCGCAGGACCCACACGGGCGAGAGGCCGTTCGCTTGCCCCGTGTGCGACCGGCGCTTCACGCAGCCGTCGGCCCTCCGCAGCCACGAGAGGACTCACACCGGCGAGAGGCCGTTCGCTTGCGACCTCTGCCCCAAGTCGTTCGCCGTCTCCTCCACCCTGCGGATCCACGCCAGGACCCACACGGCGCGAGGCCGTTCCGTTGCGACGTGTGTGGCAAGGCGTTCCCCGTGGTCCGCCCTGCGCATCCACGCGCGGGTACACACCGGCGAACGGCCGTTTCACTGCGGTGGTGCGGGCGGTCGTTCGCCCGGGCCTCTAACGCCCGCAACCACGCGAGGACGCACGCGGGAGACCGGCCGTTTCGCTGCGAGCGCTGCGACCGGGCGTTCGCCGCGCTTCGTCGCACTTCGCGAACCACCTGAGGACGCACACGGGCGAGAGGCCGTTCGCTTGCCCCCGCTGCGGCCGCGCCTTCTCGCAGGCCTCCCACCTGAGCGTGCACGCTAGGACGCACACGGAGAGAAGCCCTTCGCGTGCGAGCGCTGCGGCAAGGCGTTCGCCCGCTCGTCGGCGCGCAACGCCCACCGGAAGACTCACGCGAGGGAGGGCGAGGAGACGGCGGCGGTGGCGGCGGCGGTGGCGGTGGTGGTGTGGGGGGAGGAGGAGACTGAGGAGACGGAGGAGACTGAGGAGGAGGAGGAGATGGAGGAGGAGACGGAAGCAACGAGCTGGCCACCTCGCGTGAAACGGGAAGCGGGGGAAGACGGAGGCTTTGAAACGTGGCCCGGAGTGGAAGTGAAACGGGAAGAAGAGGGGTTCGGCTCTGGAATCCGACTGCCAGGTGAAAAGCGTCATCGTCAAGCAAGAGTGAATTCGGACTCTGAGGGAGAGTGAGGGGATGCCACCACTGGCAGTTGCGAGAAATTCAAGAGGGGCTGCCGAAGGGAGTAGCAGTGTACAAGCTGTGGCCCAGGAATTGGAGGTGACACGGGAAGGTGATGAAGATTCCATTGCAGGACACAAGATCTCCTGGTCGATGGAGGCATCGTCAAGCAGGAGCAGGAGAATTAAGACTCTGGAGGCAGAGTGAGACGGTGAACCCACCGCGCAGTTACAGGAAAGTCAAGGTGGCTGCGGGTGAAGAAAGTAGTCCCAGTTTACAAACCGTGGGCCCAGGAGTTGGAGGTGACACCGGAAGATGATGAAGATTCCATTGCAGGACACAAGCCTCCAGGCTCGATGAAGGCATCGTCAAGCCCGTGGAGAAGAAGAATTCGGACTCTGGAGGCAGAGAGAGACGGTGAACCCGCCGTGCAGTTACAGGAAAGTCAAGGTGGGACTTGCGGTGGTAGAAAGTAGTCCCAGTTTTACAAAAACCGTGGCCCAGATATAATAATAGGTTTTACCCTTTCAACTGGTACAAAAACTGACACCTTTTTACAAGGCATCATGTTTGCAATAACCACAACACAAGCAGTCAAAATGCAAACAAAAAGAAACAACTCTGATGATGATAACGATATGCACTGTCCTTGAAGTTGATTGGTCTACACCCGAGACAGCTTTTCTTAGAGCCTAGTCTCCATTGGTGTTGGACCAGATGACGCCACAAGAGGCGTACAACTCAAGACAGCGCACTATCAGAGTATTGAGAGGTCGGGGTAAGCATTTACACTATGAGACATCTCCTTTACCCATATGTTGGAGGTGACCTCAGATGTTGGAGGTGAAACGGGATAATGGAGGAGGAAGATTCGGCTGCCAGGTCGTCATCGGCGTCGTTATCGTGAAGTAAGAGTGAGATGATGCCACGATGCAGTTGCAGGAAAGCGAGAGAGTGATGCGGTGCAAGAAAGTAGTCCCAGCTTTACAAACCGAGGCCCCAGGAATTGAAGGTGACACGGGAAGATGATGGAGATTCCATTGCAGGACCCAAGATCTCCAGGTCGATGGAGGCATCGTCAAGCAGGAGCAGGAGAATTCGACTTTGGAGGCAGAGAGAGAGACGGTGAACCCCACCGTGCAGTTACAGGAAAGTCAAGGGGGACTGCGGTGGAGAAAGTCGTGCCAGCTTTACAAACCGTGGCCCAGGAAATTGGAGGTGACACGGGAAGATACGGAGATTCCATTGCGGGACCCAAGATGTCCAGGTCGATGGAGGCATCGTCAAGCAGGAGAATTCGGACTCTGGAGGGAGAGTGAGGTGATCGCCACCATCGTTACAACAAGTCAAGGGCGCTGCGGTGGAAGAAAGTAGTCCCCAGCACTATACACACGGCCAGGTGTGGAGGTGAAAATGGGCAAGAGGGGGAGGAGGAAGATTTGGCTCCGGAATCCGACTGCCAGGTGAACAGCAGGAGGAGGAGAAGTTGGTCTCTGGATGGGAGAAGTTCGGACTCTTCAGGGAGAGTGGGACGGTGACCCCACACCGTCAGAGGTCACAAACGGGTTTTGATTCCTTACCCGTACCCCGGCCGCACCAGGGTCGCAAACGGGACCCGTACCTGGCCGTAACCTAGCCGTACCCGGCCGGGTACGGGTAGGGTGGTACGGGTATTGGGTACCTGATTGCGACCTCTGGGATGAAGCCATGTTGCAGGCGCGGGTGGGTTGATTCTAGGAACTTGAATTGTGAGAAGAGACAAGACGTTGGGAAATGAGTGACAAACGGTTACTCACCAGTGACTCACAGCCTACCCGTACCCGGCCGCACCAGGGTCACAAACGGGTACTCGTACCCGGCCGGCTACGGGTAGCCAGGTATCGGGTAGGGTACGGGTATTGGGTACCCGGTTGCGACCTCTGACCACCGTGCAGTTACAGGAAAGGCGGGAGAGTGCTGCGGCGGGAATAAAGTAGTCCCAGCTTTACGTGGCCGGTCCGCCTCTTCCTACCGTTGTGAATCCTTGCGGTAAAAATAAATTTCGGGGACGACTATGAGTAGACGGACCTCCTCATCGTGTTGCTCTGTCTCCTCTGGAGAAGTATGGTGGGGGAAAACTCCGCAACATACGAGCCACCATGGGGTGGATCAGGGATGCATCATCACCCTCCACGTCACAACACTTGCTGCGTATCTGCAATAGCGGATCAGAGATGCGTCGTCATCACGCTCCACGTCACAACACTTGCTGCGTATCTGCAATAGCGGATCAACCACGTCATCATCACCCTCCATGTCACAACACCACTGCCGATCTGCAACAGCATATCAGAAACACATCATCATCACCCTCCATGTCACAACACCGCTCCGTATCTGCAATAGCGGAATCAACCACATCATCATCACCCTCCCACGTCACAACACCGCTGCGTATCTGCAATAGTGGATCAACCACATCATCATCACCCTCCACGTCACAACACCACTGCATATCTGCAATAGCATATCAGAAACACATCATCATCACCCTCCCATTTAACAACACCGCTCCGTATCTGCGATAACGGATCAGAGACACATCATCATCACCCTCCCATGTCACAACACCGCTTCGTATCTGCAATAGTGGATCAACCACATCATCACCCACGTCACAACACTACTACGTATCTGCAATAGTGGATCAACCAGATCATCATCACCCTCCCATGTCACAACACCACTGCGTATCTGCAATAGTGGATCAACCACATCATCATCACCCTCCCATGTCACAACACCACTGCGTATCTGCAATAGTGGATCAACCACATCATCATCACCCTCCCATGTCACAACACCACTGCGTATCTGCAATAGCATATCAGAAAACACATCATCATCACCCTCCCACGTCACAACACTGCTGCCGATCTGCAATAGCGTATCAGAAACACATCATCATCACCCTCCCATTTAACAACACCGCTCCGTATCTGCAATAGCAGATCAGTCACATCATCATCACCCTCTCATGTCATACCACTGCTGCCTATCTGCTATATAGCCAGATCCAACACAACCGGTGTGCTGTACTCGTAACGAATTGGCGCATTCTGTTTACATGACACTAAACCTTCTTGGTTCTTATGGTAAAGTCACGTAGAATGGAAATAATAAAATTATAAAAATATAACAATAAAATAATTCTCACGACGTTTCAGCCACAACGCAAGCAGCCGTCCTCAGGTGGAGAACAGGACTGTCGAGAAGACAGAGTTGTGGCCGAAACGTGAGAATTATTTTATGTTTTATTTTATTATTTCATTTTACGTGACTTTACCGAAAGAACCAAGAAGATGAATCCCTGCAGTCACGAAAGCTTTAAATCGAAATTTAAACCTTACTTGTCGCTTAGATTGTAAGGGGGGGTCTGGGGACCGCCACTAACTTCAACGTGCTACACCAAGACCGAATGGCATTTTTCTCCAAATAACCAGCCGGATAATGGCTAAGTTCTCAATTATTTTTTTCCATAGAGGTTTTTGTTGGGTTAGATCGCACAAGTATAAAGGTTGTGACGTTAAAAACCCGCCACCATCCGACAAAGCCAATCGGTAAGGTTTAGTGTAACGTAAATGGAACGATGCCAATTTGTTACTAGTACAGCACGACACTGGGTGTGTGTTGGAGAGCAAACGACAGGAGGTACAAGAACATTGTGCATTGATAAAGTTTGTTACAGGACATACGGGGGATCTTTGTCTTTGTGTGCTTGTGTACCTGTCTGTACCTGTGAGTGTACCTGTGTTTGCACCTGTCTGTACCTGTGAGTGTACCTGTGTGTGTACCTTTTTGTATACCTGTGTGTATGTACCTATGTATTTACCTGTGTGTACTTCCATAATATAGGTGTTGTTTGGGTTAGATCACATAAAGATAAAATGTGTCGTTAAACCCTTCACCACCCGACACGGCCAATTAATCATGTTTCTCACGTAAACAGAACGTTCCAATTCGTTACTAGTGTAGTGACTGACTCAGAGACACTAAGTGTAGGATGCACTCTGTTTATTAACACGGCCTAACAGTTAACACTCAGTAACTACGATTCCCAGTCAGGACAGATGGTAGACTGCCTGACTGGCGATGCCGAACTGTGTACACTTACCTGTAAGGGCTGACATAGTCCAGTAGGGGCAGTCACAATATCCCGAGCCCCGGAGCAGGAGGGAGCCGTGGGGTGTCCTAGGATCCCATCGGGACTCCGCCCCTTGGTGGGGAGGTGTATATAAGCCGGTCCTCTACAGGCTCGTGGCCAGTTGAAGACAGAAGCAAGAAGACTGGTCAGCTAGGACCCTGGGACCCTGTGTGGCTCAGTGGTGAGACCCTGGGAACCCCCGGCCCGATGTCCTTGTGTAGAGGTGGTACGTACCGGGTGTAGCAAGCCATTACGTTGCGGTGTCTACATCACAGTCCGTGCATGGGGTGTCTACATCAACGTCCGCATACAGCCCCCGCCCCTCGGGGGGCAGTTGGGTATATAAGGCAGTGCGCGAGAGAGCTCGAGGCAGTCGTTGGAGCAGAAGAGCCAGTGAAGAACGAAGAGGGAGCAGCTAGGTAGGACCCTGGGACCCCTAGCCCCGCCGCCCTTATCAGGGCCGGGACTCTGTGTGGCTCAGTGGTGAGACCCTGGGAACCCCCGGTTCCCGACGTCCTTATCAGGGCCGGGTTCGAGCAAGCCAGTGGTTGGGACCCGTACCCTGGCTAGGTCGGGTCAGATAGCCTCCCCTAGGAAATACATAGCTGGAGGACCTGAGAGCGTAGCCGGTGTCAGGCACGCTAACCATAGGCTGTGTTCCTAGGCTGTATAGCTGACGGTTACTGTTGTGTGTTATAAATAAATACGTGTTGCCTCCGTCAACCGTCTCCTGCACTACTTACGCCGTTACACTTGTAAGGGCCGGGTCTGAGCGGCCCAGTGGTCGGAACCCGGCTCCCTGGCTAGGTCTGGTTAGAGGGGCCTCCCCTAGGCACCCATAGCCGGAAGACCTAGAGTAGCAGTCCCGTATCGGCTGAGTTAGCCCGGAGGCAGTACCTCCCTAGGCAAGGGTAATGGACGGGCCGTTGCCCTGAGTGTGCCGGGTTGTACTGCCGGACATTGTGTTGAATCAATAGTGTTGCCTCCAAGACTTGCGTCCGACGTCTCCGGAATCCACAACACTACACAAGTGTAGTGGCTGACTCAGAGACACTAAGAGTAAGAGGCACTGTAGTAGTAGGTTTTTACCCTTTCAAACTGGTACAAAACTGACACCTTTATACAAGGCATCATGTTTGCAATAACCACAACACAAGCAGTCAAAATGCAAACAAAAAGAAACAACTCTGATAATGGTAATGATATGCACTGTCCTTGAAGTTGATTGGTCCACACCCGAGACAGCTTTCCTTAGAGCCTAGTCTCCATTGGTGTTGGACCAGATGACGCCAAAAGGCCTACAACTCAAAAACAGCGCACTATCAGAGTATTGAGAGCTCGGGGTAAGCATTTACACTGAGACCTCCTTTAACAGTGGCAAAATATAGTAGTAGGTTTTTACCCTTTAAACTGGTACAAAACTGACACCTTTATACAAGTCATCATGTTTGCAATAACCGCAACACAAGCAGTCAAAATGCAAACAGAAACAACTCTGATAATGGTAATGATATGAGTAGGAGGCATTGTTTATTAACACGGCCTCACTGTTAACACTCGGTAACTACGGTTCCCAGTCAGGGCAGCTGGTAGACTGCCTGACTGGTGACGCCGAGATGGTGAAGACGGAGACGGCGGCGAAGTCTCCAGCAGCACGACAGGATCTCACTCCACACGACAGCCCCGAGCTCCCCTCCCAGGGCCTCTCTTATACTGCCAGTGTGGCCTG